TTGAATCGTTAAACAGAATTGAAAATGGAATCGTGAAAATCTTATCAATACCCATCCCTATTGACAGCCATATCCCTTTGAACCAACTAACTGTTACCCTTGGCCCACTTGCTAGCTACCTCTCCCACATTGTAAGAGACCTTGGGCTACTCTTGGATAGCTCCTTCAAATTAGAGAAACGAGTATCTTCTGTGGTTAAATCCAGCTTCAATCAGATACGTCAAATTTCTAAAGCTAAGCCTTTTCTTTCCCCCAAGGACCTTGAAAAGCTTCTTCATGCACTCATTATCTCCAGACTGGACTATTGTAACTCCCTTTATTTAGGCCTCCCTCACTCCTCTCTCTACTGGTTGCAGAACGCTGCTGCACGCCTTTTATCGGGTGCCAGAATGATCATCTTACTCCAGTTTTAGCTGACTTACACTGGCTTCCTGTGAAATCTCACATTGATTTTATGAGGTATCGTTCTAACTGAAGACGAACCAAAGACGAGGCTCACCAAACTTCTGTTTCAGCCATCAAGGATCTGTCAGTGAGAGGCTGCTAATGCAGTACTAACCACAGGACAACTATATAAACCCAGTTTCATATTCAGACGTTTGTGATGATGGGATCCAGACCAACACTCATAAAGAACATTATCGTTCTTCCTCTGTAGTTTCTGTTTGCTGTCCTCACTTGATTCCTCCGTCTGTGTTCAGCTTCTGCATTTGACGTCATCTCTGTGCTGCTGACGTAGCTGCTGCTTTTTGTGCTTTCTTCTTTTGTTCAATAAAGTTTCTTTGAAGCAGCTTCCTCTAAAGTCCCTCCCCGTTTCTCAGATACTTCTGCGTCACTTCCTCTCCTCCTCACAGATGTGAGCAGAATAAAAATGTAAATAAAAAAACTAAAGCTAGAGGCACTTTGATCTGATGAAGCTAGCTATCAGAACACCAGGGGGCAGCGTCTGCTCAGAGTTCAACAGAAGGAGAAAATGACTGTTAGCTGATCCAAAGAGCTGTGATGAAGACATGAAGCCGACCATGGGAGGAGGCGGGACCAGCTCCTGGGACACAAACCCTGGAGCTTCAGGAGGAGCAGGAGGGAGTCTGCTTAGACTGATGGTTCGGTCTCCGTTTGCTCTTAAAGAATCAGTGATGTTATTGATCCATACCGATCGATCAGATGCATCTCTATATGTTCCCCATCAAAACCAGCAGCGTCATTTCCTGTCAGTGTGAACTTCCTGTCCTCTTTGGCCCCAGCTGATGCGGTTTTATGTTATTGATCTGTGATTAAAGCTCAGGTTTACTTTGTTTGCAGCTTCAGACTTTTAAAAACAATCTGAACTCATGTTGTCACGCGTAACAACCGTCATGCAGTTTTACTGCTTCAAGCTTTCATCGTTTTTATGGATCAGCTCGAGAATTTCTCTGAAACTTTCATCATTTTAACTTTAGCATTAACAAAGGTTTGTTGTTTTGAGAGAAACATCACATGAACAGCTGATCAAACCTATAAAAAACCCTGAAACTGAAACAGGAAGGAGACAGAAAATAGAGAAAATAGAGAAGTGAAGCTGAAAAACCCCCAAAATGAAAAAGAAAAGAAAGACGTGAGCTCAGACAAACGCAGCCCGTGTCTGGACTGAAAGACACCGAGGCACTAATCATGGCAGCACAGGAACAAGGCCACCAGCTCCTGAGGTCAGGATAGGCCACGCCCCCAGGGTGGTCGACTGCTGATTGTATCACCCACCCCTGCTCATTCCGACCTCAGTGATGGGTTTTCCCGATAAGCCTGAAGGACACACAAACACAGCTGTATGGACTCAGCTGAAGGTCAAAGGTCACTGCGAAACACAGCTCAAATTTGTTATCCAGTCAGTCGCCCCTCCCCCTGAGGTGTTTGCTCTGTCGCACACCTGCGCGAGCACACCTGCGCTCTGGACAGCAACGTGCTTCTGAACTCGAGCAGAACATTTAACAGCTGTTTGCACCAGAGCGAACTTTATTGAAACAAACGTGCTCGTGTGCTATTGCAAACATCGCTGAAGGTCGGCGCTGCACCGCCCACAGCCCGCTGATAGCGACGTTAGAGGTCAATAGGTCACGCGCCGCAGGGGTCACACATCCTCGGACTCAAAAACTTTATCAATTCGAGTCCCTGCTCCTCTGTCCCTTGTAGCCCCAGTTTCAGGTGATGTCATCAGTCCCTATCAGCGCTCTCCTGATGAAGGGTGTGGCCTCACCAGCAGTAAACAGGAAGTTTATCATCAGCAACCAGCCTCCTTTCCAACCCTTCCTTTCTGATTACTGCCTTTCTGTACGTTTGCTGTTTAGCTTCCTGTTAAATCATGTGACCCACACCTGTGTGAAAGCTGCTGTTACTGTCATTAAAGTTACTGTCAATAAAGTTCACTCATTTAAAAGCCTGGCTGCCTGTGATGAGATAGTATCGATCTGCATTTGGATCGATACAGCCTCGAGCTGTTCACGTCTGAGTATAAAGGTTTCAGGTCGAACAGGTCAGCTGACATGTGGGGAGTCAAACTGGTTTCAGTTCCAGCTGATCAGCTGACACAGGTGCATGTTCAGGTGTACCTGAGTGTCTCGCTGCCTCATCCTAGGGCTGTTCATATAACGATGTATATCGGATGACGATATAAAAACGTCGATCGTTTCATTTCACGCTGTCGATTGTTTCGTGGTGTCGCAAAATAAACCGTTTACGGCTGTTTTCATGGTTCTGATGTCACTGTAGTTATTATTAACTTCTTCTTTCTCTTATATTTAATATAACCACACTACGGACGGACAAGCGCCTGTTTTTATGCGTTGTCGTTAGCAACAACGACTAACACCATTGCGTGTCCGCTTGTTTATGTTCCACATAAACCTTTCACAATAAAGCTCAAGATCCTGTTGAGACTTTTCAAAATAAACTGAATCACGCGACAGAGCAGATTATTTACGGATGAGAAGTAAAAAAGACGCCAGGTGCTAAAAAATAAACCTTAGACTCAAACGTTAGAACAGGCGTTTCCCCGCAGCACGCCGTGTAATAAATACTCAAAGAAAACGGCGCCGTTACAACTTATGTCTAAAAATGTTTCATGCATCGTTAAAACACTCGACTCCAGCTGAAAACACTTCACACAAGTCGAGCTGCCCGAGATTCACAGACTTTACAGAAAATGTTACATTTTTGTGATTTATATCGTTATCGGACGATAGATGTCTTATATCAGGATGTGAGGTTTTGGTCGTATCGCACAGCTCTACTCCGTCCTGTTTAAATAAACATCGAGCACAAACCGCTGCGCTGGGCTCAGCGTCACAACCAGGTTGAACAGACACACCTGGAAACTACGGGTACCTTACAGTGATGTCACAGACACAGTGATGATGTCAGAAAACTTTATTACTGTAGAGAATCACAGCAGGAAAAAAGTGATGACATCACAGCTATATGTGATAAACCCCCCCCGCCTCACATGAGAGCTGCAATGGAAAGCACCAATCGCTGACCAGAGTCACGTGACCAGCCTGCACAGCTTCTTCCAACAAAGCCAACAAACCACGTTACAGGATGGAAGCCTGCAGGCCAGACAGGAAGTGCCTCTGTGATGTCAGCAGGTTTTAGAAAAAAAAGTGGTTAAAGGAAGTGACATCAGTCGTATTATAAAATAAAGTCTAATTTATGTTTAAAATACACCCACACACTCTTCATATAGTCCCGCCCCCTCTTCCACAATAAGTGAAACACTCGCAGCTCTAAATGCTGATTATTGATTGGTGACTGATCGGTTATTGATTGGAAGCTGAAACGTCTCACCACACCCTCTGTGGCCATAAACTTTCACCCGATGAAACTGCTGAGGCCCCTTTCCTACATCCTGCTTCCTGCCACGTTAATCAAAGGGCGGGGCCAGCTACATCTGAAAGGGGCTTTAGGCTGCTGCTGACTGATCAATGGTGGGTGGCGGCACGATGATGTCACAGAAAGGAGAAAAAGGCGTCAGCGACGACGGTTAGACAGATGAGATCGTGTGCGCTGATCAGCGATAAAGTGACTCCAGAAGAGAAGAAGAAGCATCGTCGTCATCGTCACATCTGCAGGAGACACAGGTGAGACAGGTGAGACAGGCAGACCCACACACACCCACACACCACGTCACACGCTGCAGGCGACTCACCTGTACGGGAGATCTGTGCAGCCACTTCTCTTTGTCTCCGCCCACCTTCATGCAAGAGAACAGGTCACACATGGTGGGCAGCGCCACAGCGAGGCGTTCCTAAACAGGAAACAGGAAGCAGTCAGGAAGCCGGAAGCGAGCAGCAACCAAACCACGAGTGTTCAGCTCCAGCGGTGCTCACCTGAGCTTGACTCCTCTTCCTCAGCAGCCACTTGTCCTCTTCCTCCTCCTCCTGCGGCGGCGATACGGAAACGGGCGCCGGGCTCTTCCGTGGAAATAGCCACAGGTCCGTCTCCAGGGGGCTCTGGAAGAGCGACGAGGAGGAACCGTTCTCCTCCCGGCTCGCCTTCTCCTCCTCAGCTGCCACCCCGCCGGAGAGCGAGGAGCTGGGGTGGAGCCACGCCTCCAGGATGGCCTGAACCTGTCAATCAGGTGATCAATTAATCAATCACCTAATTCTTACTGAAGCGTCGCAGCAGAGCCGACTCTGATTGGCTCTTACCTTCTGCTCCTGCTCTCGGTGGAAGGGTGTGGCCGTGGCGTTCTTGGCAGTGGGCGGGGCGTTCTTGGGGACGCCATTCTTGTCGCGGTCCTCCTGCTGCAGCAGCCAGCGGCTCAGCGCATCCTTGCCGCAGTTCTCCTCGCAGACGCAGGCCGAGTAGGCGGAGCAGAGCTCGTTGGCGCGGCAGGTCTGCGGCGTCGGCGGCGTCTTCTGCAACCACGCCTCCAGAGACGCTGGCATCGACACGGGGGCGGGAGAAGTGGGCGAGGTGGCGCCTGAGGTAGGCGTGGTCTTCAGGCACTTGAGCTTGCCGAGGTTTTCGATCTCCACGGCGCTGATGGTCTGACAGCACGACGAGCAGTCGCCGACTGAACGGCTCGCTGGCGACAGCCAATCATCGGTTGACCAGCTTTCTTCAAACGGCTTGAAGACACGCTGCCAACGTTCGGCGTCCGACATGGTCTCCATGGCAGCAGTAGGCGGGGTAACAAGCCAGTCGTTAAGCTCCTCCTCCTCAGCGGCGGCGGACAGCTCCATTTCGTCGATCTTCTCGATGGAGAAGGAGGAGCTACAGCTGCTGACGCTTCTCTCCCGGTTGGGGGAGTGGTCTTGAATAAGCCACGCCTCCAGGTCCCTGAGCTGACCCCAGGCTTTCATGAAGTTCGTGGAAGCCATCACGGGACAGGAAGTCTGCTACAGAGACAGGAAGTAAAGCAGGTGAGAGGCACGGCCTGAGGTCAGAGCCTGTTCTCAGGTAACACACCTTAGCGCTCACCTTACTCTCCTTCTGTGTCAGCAGCCAATCCTGCGGGTCTGTGCTAGACTGGTAGCCAATGGGAGCGAAGCTGTTGGCGGGTTGAGATTCTAGCAGCCAATCGCTCAGAGAGGAGGGCTCAGCCACCTGCTGCGAGGGAGACGCAATCAGCATCACCTTGCTTTCATCACTATCGCATCACCACCAGGACGCAACTTACCTGCTTCTTCGCTGTGATTGGACAACTCTGCACCTGAGGTCTCAGGTGGGTGGAGCTCTGAGAGGACATACCGTCCACAAGCTGTAAACAGGAAGGAGAGAGAACACGCCTGAAAGATCCACTAACACAGTGTGTGTGTGTGTGTGTGTGTGTGTGTGTG